CGAGAGAACCTAGAGGGTATAGATGGTTGGAGTGGGGCGGGGCGGAAATTCACCTATTTACTTATTCCCCTCAACCATGCAAGGTTCTAAGCAGTAGCGGCATAATGAGCGTGATTGTTTGATGTTTTGGTTTCGGTATTAGTTTTGTACGGCACTTGCAATACAATTAGGTCAGGTGATTGGCTGAGATTGGAGGCGTTACTATTTCAACTAATAAAAAGGAAATTGATAAAACAAGATAGATAGGAAAAAAGGTGCCAACCATTAACTGACTTAGGATAATAATGGAGAGACAGGGAGAGCGAGAGAGAGAGAGAGAGAGAGAGAGAGAGAGAGAGAGAGAGAGAGAGAGAGAGAGAGAGATTGGGGGCACGAGGAGAGGGGTGTGTTGTGGTGGAGGTGGGAGAGGGTTGCAGTGTATGCATGGATTATGACACAAATTCAATCTGAATATTTATAAGCTACACTTTCTCTTGTGCATGTGCGTAGTTTGCGTGTTTCTCTTTTGACCTTAACATTAAAATATTCTATTCGTGCAGCCTCATAATAATACGCTTCCCTAGAATAACAAGCTTCTATCTGCCCAGTATCTAGTTTTGAAAAAATTGACGTAGTAATATAAGGTTTTACAATAATATGTCAAGCCTTTTCAATTGCACTTCTTTGAATATATTGTTAACGACTCAAAATAGTTTTATATTGTTAATAGTAACTCGAAGCGGCCTAAAGTGCCAGAGAGAACTTTGTAATTCTGGGATAATGGCACAATGGTAGAATTGAACCATACGGACGCATTGGTATCTTGTAGAAAGATTGTTCAATAATATTGCTTTGATGAAAAAATACCCATCTTTTTAAAATACAAATCGAGATACAATTTGCTACAGAAAGAGGTGTGGGTCACCTGGTGTCAGGGGTAAAATAAGAGAGAAAACGGCCGCCAAAGTATGATAACCTCCATAGTTTGAGTGTCCTCGAAACGGCAAAGTTAAAGTTAAGTTTTATGAAAGCCCTGTCAGTTTCAAAAAGTAGTTTTGTACAGTGTTCATTTTTAAATAGTTTTATTAAAAGTTTCACGGCACTTGCAAAGCAATAAGGCCCTTTCGTGCTGTCTGAGTTGTCCCAGGACGCAATTTCGCTTCGGGTCCTTTAATATTATATAT